GCTAAGCAGAGAGGTTTTAGAGAAAGAGATATTGTTTGAGTCAAAAATATTGCTTTGGTAACAGAAGTCAAATGTATGGTTATAACTCATATGTAATACATATACAACACACTAAAACTGCTGAGTGAGGCACCACCAGGTTCTATAGTACTATTGTTAGTACATTTTAGAATGATGCATTAAGTTGTATGGAGGAATGTGTTTTTGCGGCTGGACACCTGCATTTGTCCTTTGGGTATCCAGGAAGACATTTTATTGTTGGTAAAAAGACACGACCAAAGATTTGCTGCGTGCATTTATACCAGAAGAAGCAATGTTAGCTTTAACATCATTCCATCCGTGTCATTGTAGTGTCCCATGGCCTACACTGGTGGACAAACGCAAGACAGAATTGTACAATTCATCTGGCCTTGTGGAAGTCACAAGGACTCGGTTGTTTGAGTTACCTGGCGCCTTTTCATGACGACGTACATTTCAATATATAATGCATCTGTTTCTTGTTCGGCCTGAATTAACTGCCATTTTGTGAATAAACGACCAGGTTTCTTTGGTGTACACGATCCCATTTGAGTTTCATTACCTCTACATTAAAAAGGTTAGCAATGGAACACCCTTCTTCAGGTCTCAATATAACCCAAACTATGTAATCAGGTGACAACCTAATGAACATTTATGTTCAATATCATGTATAGAGTTCATGTTAAATATGTAGCGGAATTCAAATGCCACATGTTGTATCAAATAGAAACTAAAGGTGTTAAATGAAGAGCTCTTTGTCCTAGTGGGTGGCTCTTAAAAGAGCCGTTGTGTGGGGGTTGTTCAGGGCCTTTACTTGGCCTTCTCGGTCTTCTTGGGCAGGAGAACGGCCTGGATGTTGGGCAGCACTCCTCCCTGGGCGATGGTTACTCCTCCCAGCAGCTTGTTGAGCTCCTCGTCGTTGCGGACGGCCAGCTGCAGGTGGCGGGGGATGATACGACTCTTCTTGTTGTCTCTGGCGGCGTTACCGGCCAATTCCAGGATCTCAGCGGTCAGATACTCGAGTACCGCGGCCAGATAGACGGGGGCTCCGGCTCCGACGCGCTGAGCGTAGTTACCCTTCCTCAGCAGCCTGTGCACACGGCCCACAGGGAACTGCAGCCCGGCCCTGGATGAGCGGGTCTTCGCTTTAGCGCGTGCCTTTCCTCCGGTTTTTCCCCTTCCACTCATGTTTGCGTCAGATTCTGATGAAACTGAGGAGCCCACTGAGCGCTTCCTATTTATATGCCCCAGTGCGCGCGGCTGAGCAGAGCACCAATCAGAGGCCGCTATCCACGAGGGGGAGGAGCTCTAACCAAACACTGTGGATCTGTAGCAAAGGCTTTTGTGCTGTTAATGGATATTGTTGGTTTAGAGCAGGGGTCGGCAACTCAAAAAGTTCAAAGAGCCATATTTGAGCAAAAATAAAAAAAACAAATCTGTCTGGAGCTGCATAAACTTTACTGCCTTTTTTAAGGTTTATATGAAAGCAACACAGGCTGTAAGCTGTATTAGCCTACTATCAAAATGAGTAAGTATAGGCTACAAATACATAATATGCATTCATGATTATTATATATATATACATTTTCACTGTAGTGCAAGAGAGTGACGCACCATGTGACTACTCTGCTATACCATATATGCTTTAAGTTTAACTTTCCTTTTGTTGCGTTCATGCAATTGTAGAAATACAGTAAATACATCTGTTTTTGGCTCAGTTCTCATACCTGCATTACAGCACTTTCTGTTCATATCGATCACGTCACACGTCGTCACGGCTGGAGTTTGCTGGAGCTGAATGTCCCGAACGGTGTTTCGCACTTTTTTGTTCCTCGTGTTGCAACAAAATTCAGGCGTAGAAGTTTGGAGATGAATCCTCCAGAATAACTGCGATCGCACTGTTTCTCTCCAAACTGGGGTCAGCAGCCGATTTTCCACATGACTCTTTTTGTTCTTCAATATATTCTCATTACAAAGCAAACATGAAGCAGTCCTTCCTCATTGACTCAATGAGAGCCAAATGTTACAGTCCATTTGTCCTTGAGTTCCTGGTTCTTATCAAGTATTTCCCTTTTTAGCTTTGGGATTTATGCGGACTCATGTGGCACATGCTGGTTTGTTTACAACAGCGGCCGCCCGGCGCGGGGCCGCGTAACCGCGCGTCGCAGGATATGACGCACATCTCAGTTGACACAAATGTTAAAATTAAATATTTCTTATGCACATTTTTACTGCATTGGAAAACATTAAGAATGTTGTCCTTCCTACAGAAACCACATTGAAACTATAAATAAAATATACCCTTCCCACTCCATTTTCGGACATTTTTGAAAAGGCTCCAGGAGCCACTCAAGGGGCACTAAAGAGCCGCATGCGGCTCCGGAGCCGCGGGTTGCCGACCCCTGGTTTAGAGCCATGGTCAAAAAATTGCGGCCCGCGGGCCATTAGTGGTCATCAAACTTTAAGTGTGGACCGCACTGAGGGTCTGTACTGACATGTTTTGCATCGTTTTAAAGCTTTTTTTCCCCCAAGAAAACAACCACATAATTTACTTTACCATAAACATTGAGCCGTGAAGGAAATAAGCAATAAACTTTATCAAACCCAGTCCACAAAACAAAACCTCATTGCTCTTTTTCTCATTTTTCTTTCATTCTCAGCAGCTGAACTTAATTCAATATATTTCTATGAACAAAATGTCAGAATAACAATAAAAGTAAGTCATGAATTCCAAAAGTCACAGACACAAAGAATGAACTAAAACAATTTCCACAAACGCTTGAATCAGTTTCAGTGATGGTTTATACCTCTGCGTGTGCATAGATCTGGTTGATGTTCATATGTTCATCTGCTCACACATGTAACAGATGTAAAAGTATTTGTATTCCACTTGTCATAGACTCTGGTGTTATGATGGAACAGCGCCCCCCCTTGGTGTGACAAATCCTATAAGTCTTGGGGATAAAGCATAGACTGTAAATATTTACGGACAGAGTCACACCTATTTCTGCCGTTCAAACAAATGAGCCAAAAAATTTGCTCTGCTGGAGCTATCCAAAATGGCAGCGAGTGGTCCCGCCCACAAGAAAATTGTGAAAAAAAACGCATCTGCGCATGCGTCACCCGGCGCAAGCTCCATTCATTTGAACGAGTGACTTAAAAAATTCACAGCGACTAGAGTGGTCCAGAACACCCCCCTCAGCATTGACACACATGTGGAACGGAGCTTTGGGCCAAGAGCCAACTTTTGGACCATCCTGTAAAGACGTTTTCCAGAGGTCTGCCAATGCTATATGATTTTTTACTTCCATACAGTCAGATTCAACACAAAATCAATAACGTGTTTGTCTGTTCTCATCATTTTCACCAAGGTTAGTTGTTCTAATTAAAGAATGAGTCGGAGTAAGAACCTGTGACATGAACATGGGTCATATGTGATCGCATGATACATGCATGTTTATGTCAGTAACACTCCGGTGTGTGCATGGATCTATTATAACAATGGGTGTGTGCTGTCTGTCTGTGGAGACGGCTGGTAGATCCAAGGGGAAACATTAATGTGAATAATGGGGAAGCTACAGGTGGGAATGGAGCTGTGTGTGGGTGGATTATGGGTGGGCTGAGTTTGCGTGAAGTAAGAAACAAGAACAATTACAAACGAACATTAGAATTAAAAACTATTGTGGAAAACATTACTTACAGTATTTATATATTTAATAAAATAATAACAAAAGCCAATTCAAAAATATAAAACTAACCATTTACAAATATCAAGGCACTATCAGGTGAACATAAACGAGGTGAGGGATATGGGCGATAGTCGCTTTATTTTGGCCCCCTCTAGTGGCCGCACCTCGCCAACACACGGTGGACACATTCGTGGAAAGAAAACGAGGGAAAATACCAAATACAGTGAAACAGGCTGAATGGTGAAGCGCGTCAGGTGAAGCCGAGGGGCCCGGCGTCACTTGGCGCGCGTCAAAAGCTTCAAAGGTTGCGCGTAATACGCGCTTACTTGAAGCTTTTGACGCGCGAAACGCTCGCGTATCAAAACAATCCCTCTGACGCCGAAGCTGAGCAAAGCTGAGCTTTTGAAGCTTTGACGCGGGCTTCAACCAATCAGGAGACGAGGAGCAGCAGAGGGTCTGTCTCCGTCATGAAGAGAAGTCATGTATCTGCTGCTGCTGTTTTATTGTCATTATTGTTATTAGTAATATTATTTGTATGAGTAGTAACGTTCTGAGTAACAAAAATCATTGTACACATGCTGTGTAGTAAACGTAGTTTATTTAAAATAAGAACAGGCTGACGATGAGTCTGGCCCAGAGCAAGGCAGCTCCGGGCGGGCGAGAGCCGGGGAGAGGCAGGGAGAGGCGAGCGAGAGCCGGGGAGAGGCAGGGAGAGGCGAGCGAGAGCCGGGGAGAGGCAGGGAGAGGCGAGAGCGAGGCGGGGAGAGGCGAGCTCCGGGGTTTGAGAACTCAGACTGGGCGAGTGACATGCGGAAGTACCGCTGAAAGCGAAACTCCTCCGTACGCAGCTCCTAGAGTAAATGACGGAACTCTGCAAACACTGCAGCCTCTCAAGTCTGTGGTGAACCCAGAACATGTTTTGTTGAAGCCCTACATTGCAACAACGTTATTTTGCTTTATATAACAAATAAAGGCTCGCTGCTCATTGAAAAATCCACCGCTGTCCTGACTACAGGCAACAGAGAAGCTCCTCCCACCGGCGTCAGGCGCGTCACTCGCGTCAAAAGCTTCAAGCACCAAAATGACAAAACTATCCCGGCGTCAGTTGAAGCGCGTCAAAAGCTTTTTGAAGCTTTTGGTCTGAACGCGCCTTGAGAGTTGTTTTTCTTCCTTTTGAAGTTGTCAGAGCTGTGTGCGGAGCCTGCACCTGTCACAGAGTCAGATGTGCCTTTGACATGACTAAAGACACAGACTGTGCTTTTCAGCTCTGACAGTTTTATTTCCTCTACAGCCATGAGGACAGAAGTGGACTCGCTCCAAACAGAAGTGGACTCCCTCCAAACAGAAGTGGACTCCCTCCAAAACAACGACAAAGGTTTGTTGATATAAAAGTGTTGTTCAGACCTGGAGGCGTTGGCTCTAACTCTGTCTGTGTGGAATCAGCTCAAGAGGCTGCACTGGAGCGTCTGCAGACCAGCTCCTCTGTCACTGAACACAAAGTGGAAGCTCTGACTCACGACAAAACAGGTGCAAACACATCCTTTAGTCTGCTTTAGTCTGCTTCAGTCTACTTTTGTCTCCTTTAGTCCCCTTTAGTCTGCTTTAGTCTGCTTTAGTCTCCTTTAGTCTGCTTTAGTCTCCTTTAGTCTCCTTTAGTCTGCTTTAGTCTCCTTTAGTCTGCTTTAGTCTGCTTTAGTCTACTTTTGTCTCCTTTAGTCTCCTTTAGTCTCCTTTAGTCTCCTTTAGTCTGCTTTAGTCTCCTTTAGTCTGCTTTAGTCTCCTTTAGTCCCCTTTAGTCTGCTTTAGTCTCATTTATTCTCCTTTAGTCTCCCGGAGGACCTCCCCAGAGGTCCTCTGGGCACGTCCCACCGGGAGGAGGCCTCAGGGACACGCTGGAGAGACTCTGTCTCTCAGCTGGCCTGGGAACGCCTTGGTGTCCCCCCGGACGAGCTGCTTTAGTCTCCTTTAGTCTGCTTTAGTCTCCTTTACTTTAGTCTCCTTTAGTCTCTTTTAGTCTCCTTTGGTCTCCTTTAGTCTGCTTTAGTCTCCTTTAGTCTGCTTTAGTCTCCTTTACTTTAGTCTCCTTTAGTCTCCTTTAGTCTCTTTTCGTCTCCTTTAGTCTCCTTTAGTCTCCTTTGGTCTCCTTTGGTCTCCTTTACTTTAGTCTCCTTTAGTCTCTTTTAGTCTCCTTTTTAAGTTAAGTCTGTGTGTTTATTTGGGCATCTAGAAGATACAAAATCAATGATAAAAAAGAGATGCATTGAGAAAAAAATAATAAAAAAAAACAATAGCCCAAAAGGGAGTTGGCAGAAGCTGGAACAGCTCATCTGGGCCGACCCCCTGTCACCAAATACCATCACTGATATATTGTTATGATACTTACATGTGCATAAATAACCACATACATTATATATATTAAAACAAAAATTGTCCACTCACCTTTGGCCCTCCGCGGGCGGTTATCCTGGAGGCGTTAAGAATACGCCTTATTCTGGAGTAGAATTCGGTGTGCCGCAGGGTTCGGTACTCGGACCGATTCTTTTCACTCTCTACATGCTGCCGTTAGGAAACATTATTAAAAAGCATGGAATTAATTTCCACTGCTGCAGATGACACACAGCTTTATCTGCCGATGAAGCCAAATCAGACAGATCAGCTAGAAAAGCTCAGTGCCTGCATAAAGGACCTTAAAATGTGGATGACTCTTAACTTCCTACTTCTCAACCCGGAGAAGAAAGAAGTGTTCCTACTCGGTCCGAAGCGCCTGCGTGACTTCCTCACTAACCAGATAATTACTCTCAATAATGTCAGTATTATACCCAGTAACACTGTGAGGAATCTTGGCGTCATTTTTGACCAAGAACTCTCCTTCAAGGCTTATATAAGCCAAGCAACTAAAACGGCGTACTTCCACTTACGGAACATTGCTAAAATTAGGAATTTCCTTCCTAAAAGTGACGCGGAAAAACGTATTCACGCGTTTGTCACCTCAAGACTTGACTACTGTAACGCTTTACTGGCAGCGTGCCCTAAAGCCTCTTTGAAGAGCTTCCAGCTCGTTCAGAATACAGCAGCTAGGATCTTAACAGGTACCAAAAGGAGGGAGCACATTTTATTTATTTATTTATTTATTTGGGTGTTAAAGGAGGTACAATGCATATTAATGAACATTTAACAAATGTAAATATGCCAGATTATAGCCTTAGGCTAATTTCCATCTGCAGACCTCCTGGCAGGTTGATGTTAACAAAGAACATAAAAACAAACAAGATGTAACAATACAAATCATGCAAAAAATACAGTGTACACAAGACTATATACAGGACATGTACAAGGACAGCTGAACACGTACAGACATGTGAGACAGTAAACAACAATTGACAGAAAGACTTGAGACATTGTATTTCACACATCCTATTGCACTGTTCCCCACTGCACCGTTCCCTACTGTACTGTTCTCTATTATACTGTTCCCTACTGCACTATTCCCTATTGCACTGTTGTTCCCTACTGCACTGTTGTTCCCTATTGCACTGCTCCCTATTGCACTGCTCCCTATTGCACTGCCCCCTATTGCACTGCTCCCTATTGCCCCCTATTGCACTGCTCCCTATTGCACTGCCCGCACATAACTCCGGTGTTAAAATCCCTCCACTGGCTCCCTGTGGAGTACAAAATAAAGTTTAAAATCCTTCTCTTAACATATAAAGCCATAAATGGCTTGGCTCCTTCTTATCTCCAAGACACGTTAGTGTCGTATCAACCAAGTCGAGCGTTGCGCTCACAAAACGCCAGACGTCTAAGGTCTCAAAAATCACTGTTGGTGGCAGAGCATTTAGCTCCAAGCTCCTTTACTGTGGAATCAGCTTCATTTATGTTAAGGAAGCAGATACGGTCTCCACATTCAAGGCCAGGCTTAAAGCACTCTACTTTAATTTAGCATATAATTAGGTCATATATAATATATGGTGTATATATATATATATATATATATATATATATATATATATATATATATATATATATCTATGCTGTATTATGTTATATATTATACAATATATGTATTATGTTATGTATTGTGTTATGTTGTATATTATGTTATATATTATGCTGTATGTTATGTTGTGTATTACATATGATATATATGATGTATATGATATATAATATATAATTAGGTTTGCCTGGATCAGTTTGGCACACCTGGTGTGCAATCCATGAATCTTGGTGCTGTAGCCTAGACTAGCCTAGCCATGGCTGCTGCTGTCTCACCTCCTTTCAGATACGCTCTCTTTATTCAAGGCTAGGTTTAAAACAGTCCTCTTTAGTTTAGCATATGGCTAGGAAGATAAGACTCAGGGAAGGCTAAACTCCTCAGACTGTCAGTCAAGCTGCATAGGGAGCCCCCTGCTGGAGAGGTATGGTAACTTGAGCACTATCCTCTCCTCCTTCCTACTTTATCTGTTTAGCATTTTTAGGATTTTGACTGTAGTTTGTTCATTGCTATTCACCCGTTGTCCCATTGTCTGTTTCATGGTACGATGACGGGATCTCTGAGCCTGGCCTCCTCCATCTACACCTGCGGACTGCCCCGCCCGACCCGCCTGGGAGTGCTTCAGTCCTGCACCGGACCTGTCCACGTTCAGCGGCCACTGGTCCACATTCTGTAGCTAGCTTAGGTCCTAGATCATTAGCCTGTCCGTCCGGAGGAGCGGATCCCTTTCTCAAATGGGTCTCCCTAGTTCTCCCCAAGGTTTCTCACTTTTTCCCACTGGGTTTTTTAAGAGTTGTTCCTTGTCGATGCAGGAGGGTCTTGTTGGACAGTTAGTGTCCAACAGAAAGGATTGGTGATGATCAGGACACTTTAGCATTCTACAACATGTATGGACATTTTCTTCTGTGTGTGCTTTATATTCTTCATGTGTTAACTGTTGATTCTCTGACCTGTGTTGGTGATTTCAATGGTTTTGTTAAGTCCTCTGAGATGACTTCTGTTGTGACCTAGGGCTTTACAAGAATAAATTGTATTGTATTGTATTGTATTATCCCTCTCTAAGCTCGGGTCCTCTACCAGAGGCCTGGGAGCTTGAGGGTTCTGCGCAGTATCTTTGCTGTTCCTAGCACTGCACATTTCTGGGCCGAGATGTCCGAGGTTGTTCCGGGGATCCGCTGTAACCACTCTTCTAGCTTCAGGGTCACTGCCCCGAGTGCACCGATCACCACGGGCACTACTGTCACCTTTACCCTCCAGGCCCTCTCCAGCTCCTCTCTGAGACCTTGGTATTTCTCAAGCTTTTCATGTTCTTTTTTCCGGATGTTACCATCGCTTGGAATTGCCACGTCCACCACCACGGCTGTCCTCTGCCCTTTGTCCACCACCACGGCTGTCCTCTGCCCTTTGTCTACCACCACGATGTCAGGTTGGTTCGCCATTACCATTCGGTCGGTCTGTATCTGGAAGTCCCACAGGATCTTTGCACGTTCATTCTCCACCACCTTTGGAGGAGTTTCCCACTTAGACCTTGGGGTTTCCAGCCCATACTCTGCACAGATGTTTCTGTACACTATGCCAGCCACTTGGTTATGGCGTTCCATGTAGGCCTTCCCTGCCAGCATCTTGCACCCTGCAGTTATGTGTTGGATCGTCTCAGGTGCCTCTTTGCACAACCGACACCTTGGGTCTTGTCTGGTGTGGTATATCTGGGCCTCTATCGCTCTGGTGCTCAGTGCCTGTTCCTGTGCAGCCATGATGAGTGCCTCTGTGCTGTCCTGTAGGCCAGCCCTTTCTAGCCATTGGTAGGACTTCTTGAGATCAGCCACTTCTGTTATGCTCCGGTGGTACATGCCGTGTAGGAGCTTGTTCTCCCATGATGGGCTCTCCTCCAGAACCTCCTCATCTCGCCACTGCCTGAGACATTCACTGAGTATGTCATCCGATTTGGCCTTTTCCATGATGTTGTTATGGAGTTTGGATGTTTCGTCCTGGACAGTGGCTCTCACACTCACTAGTCCTCGGCCTCCTTCTTTACGGCTTACGGCTTACGTACTAGTACTAGTCTCAGGGTGCTGGATTTGGGATGGAACCCGCCATGCATGGTAAGGAGCTTTCGAGATGCCCTTCTGTGCTGTGCTCATGAATTGTTCCATATGCCCACTTATCTTAGCCGCAATGATGCCTGACATGAGCTTCCATGTTGTGGAGAGACAGGTTATTGGCCGGTAGTTGGAGGGGACTGCACCCTTGACAGGGTCCTTCATGATCAGGACCGTTCGCCCTTCGGTTAGCCATTCTGGGTGAGTCCCATCTCTCAGCAGCTGGTTCATTTGTGCTGCTAGGCGCTCATGGAGTGATGTGAGTGTCCTTAGCCAGTAGGCATGGACCATATCAGGGCCAGGTGCTGTCCAGTTTTTCATACCTGAGACTTTTTCTCGGATGTCTGCCTCTGTGATGGTAACTGAGTTCTGTTCTGGGAGGTGGCTGTGCTCCTCTCGCCATTGTGCACTTCTGTTATGTGCTGCATCCTTCTCCAATATGTTCTTCCAGAACTGTTCAGTTTCCAGCCTCGGTGGGTCTGCTCCCCTGTTGTTACCCTGCCACTGAGCGTACACCTTCGCAGGTTGTGTTGCGAACAGCCTGTTCACCCTTTAACATCCGTGGTCTGAATCTCTTCCTTATATATATATATACACATACATACACACGCACAAATGCAACACATAAACACATAGACATACACATATACACAATACATTTAACATATATATACATACCTACATACATACACACATTTATGCAATAAACATTTGATATACATATATATCACACACACCTCTACTACACCTACTTACTTACAACACAACTATCAACATGCACCCACACATGTATTTATTATTATAATAAAATCCATAATTTATATATATATATATATATATATATATTATCTTTTTTATTTGATTTTTATTATTATTACTAAGTTTCAAGCTGTACTATTACGTGAACAACATACTAGTTGTTTTTAAATCAGAAGAAAGGCTTCAAAACAGCATCACTAAATATTATTTACCTATGTACCTAACTTTAAGGACTTTCGAGATTATCATAACATGGTTAATTAAGAAATTGGATTAAACATCTACTTCTACAGAGTCCATACTGGAAAAAGTAAAAGTGTATAGATTAAACATTTGATCATAACCTGAATAAGGAACTGGTATCTGCAATGTGCTGCAGGAGGACCATGTGTCACCAAAGCCACTCCTGTCGATAGTCACGAGTCACAGATATGAGTTCATTTATAATCTGGGGTCATGCTGCTGCACTTTGCCACAACTCACAACCATCTCAGCTGCATATTATATTATTATGTTACCGTTATTGTAAATAATCTTCTTCTTCTTATTTATTTATTTTATATATATACACCTATGCATACATATACATACACACACACACACCCATACCTGTATCCATACATATACATATACATACACATACACACACACACACACTCATACCTGTATCCATACATATACACACACACACACACACTCATACCTGTATCCATACATATACATACACACACACACACACTCATACCTGTATCCATACATATACATACACACACACACACACACATCAGGTCTAAGAGCCATACCCCCACAGGGCCCAGAGGAGAGAAGGGGCCCCAGACCTCCACCAGGTCCAAGAGCCAGACCCCCACAGGGCTCAGAGGAGAGAAGGGGCCCCAGACCTCCACCAGGTCCAAGAGCCAGACCCCCACAGGGCTCAGAGGAGAGAAGGGGCCCCAGACCTCCACCAGGTCCAAGAGCCAGACCCCCACAGGGCTCAGAGGAGAGAAGGGGCCCCAGACCTCCACCAGGTCCAAGAGCCAGACCCCCACAGGGCCCAGAGGAGAGAGCTAACCACTGCTTCCAGTGCAGAAGGCCACTCCAGAAGAAACACTGGGGATACTAAAATTGTATTAAAAAACAAAAATATCAAAATGTGAGACTAAAAAGACTATAGCAGAATACATAATAATAACAATGATTATGAAACAAATATGTGTCTAATGGATGAATTGGTGCTGCTGAGTTTTGTTTTAGGAAGAGCAGAGAGCAGATGTTCTTTTAGGAAGAGCAGAGAGCAGGGCATTACAGCAGTCACTGCTGATAAAAGCATCAGCGTCTCTGTTGCACTGAGAGTGAGTTGGGCCTACTCTGGAGATGTTCTTAGAAAATAATGATAATAAAAAAAACTATTTTACTCCTAACATGAAGAATAAAAGTCAGCTCAGAGTCAAAAATAACAATTACGCCCATGTCTCCTGATGACACCTCCAAGAGGAGCATGTACAGGTTAAAAAGGACTGGACCTAAAATGGAACCCTGGGGCACACCACATGTGATTTTATGGACCTGAGAGGAGCAGGTATCCAAACTTACCATGAAGGATCTGTCTGTTAAATAAGAAGTGAACCATTTGTGGACAGCACCAGAGAGGCCGAGGTGTTTCAGGCAGGATAAAAGAACGGTGTGATCGACTGTGTTTAAGATCCAGAAGAACCAACACGTCACCTTTTTAGAATAAATATTTAGTCTAAAACCATTAATAATCTTTTATAGAGCAGTCTCTTTGCTCTGGTTCACCCTTTCACCAAACGGATTATTTAACAAAATGTGTTCCTCGTCTAAAAATGGGATGAAAAATGTCAGACAGACTTAAACAGAAATGCCTGCGGCTCTTTGTTTCAGTTTCAATATTTTAAAAAATAAATGAAGACAGAGCATTATGACAATTTGCGTCACAACAAAGACGCCGACCCACAGGTGTTGGTCTGAAGTCTCCGGGACCTTAAAGACCGGATCACTTCAACATTACGTCGTGTGTTTTTCCCAAGTCCGTTTTGAGGTGTCCAGACTCCACAAAATGAATTAGAAGTTTAATGGTGAGTTGGATAATGGTCTGTAAATGTTAAGATCGTTGAAATCTTTCCTGCAGCTGTCTCACTAAAGACCCCCGTCTGAAGAGAGGATTCCTCTGGTCTAAAAGCTCCTCTCTAAAACATTGTTACACTTCAATACTGAGTGGGGTCCAGATCCAAAAGACATGTGGTGGACTTCACTGTGGAGAAAACGTTATCAAACATCGCATCCACCAGGCCACAACCGTCCAGTGTTTCCTCTGGAGAAGACGAACAATCAGATGTGTTAAAAGTGTTGATAGATAAAATGTTTCCTCTGATTGTTTGTTATTTCTCTCATGAAGCGGGAACAGAAACAGTCTGTGGGGGTTAAATCAGGGTTAAAATGGTGTCAATGGTTGAGATGTATTTCTGTTTTGGGTGATACCTTTTGTAGTAGTAGTTAACATATATATAATAACATTGAGTAAAGTATTGAAATACAGATACTCATGGACGAATAATTAAGTGTTCTATGTTTATTGATTCTCTGATCCGTGTTGGAGATTTCAACAGTTTTGTAAAGTCCTGTGAGAAAACTAATGTTGTGATTTAGTGCGATACAAGAACAAGTTGAATTGAAATGGAACTACATGCCTGAGTCTTATCATACATTCACAAAGTACCTACACAGAGGCCTGGGGAGTTGAAGAGTCCTGGTTGTACTGACACAGCGCCACCAGCAGAGGTCAGTGTCTGCACAGTCCAGAGTCTGCTCCTGGACCTGGCTGTAGAAAACGGACAGTGAACACAGCGGAGCAGACGTGGTGGCTGTATGTGATCTGGCTTTCAGCAATTCGATTCAATTTAATTTATTTTTATATAAAAGACATCTTCAATGGTCTTGGCGAACATTAAAGAAGCCCACAGAAGATTAGAGAATCAAATAATTAGGAAAAGTAATAATAACCGAAGGACAATAAATATGTCTGTGGACCCTGCAGACCCAGGACTGAGACTGTAGACCCAGGACTGAGGCTGTAGACCCAGGACTGAGGCTGTAGACCCAGGACTGAGGCTGTAGACCCAGGACTGAGGCTGTAGACCCAGGACTGAGGCTGTAGACCCAGGACTGAGGCTGTAGACCCAGGACTGAGGCTGTAGACCCTTAACCAGCAGAACACGCCACAGGACAGAGGTGCGTGACTCCAGAGTGGAAAAAGGCCACATCAATAACATGGATCAGAGCCCAGGGACTGACTGCTCTACATATGGTTTTGGATCATAAATGTTTCCATTGCTATTAATCCAAAATCACACTGTTTTATGCCCAAACATTTCTGATGTAAAACACAGCGACAAATATCATTTCATGGGAAGAATGTGGTGCTTCAGTCCAAACCAGTTGGATAGAGGTTTTCTCAGGGTGCTCCAAGGAAACACTAAACTTACACCAAACTGTAAGGCCTTTGTCTGACTTTGGAGCCCAGGACCTGGCTCAGGGCCTCGCTCAGGGCCTCGCTCAGGGCCTCGCTCAGGGCCTCTGTCCCCGGTCCTGTTCACTGTTTATATGGACACTTAGCCAAGGCCAGAGAGAGGGCTGAAGACCAGAGAGTTTCCGGGTTGGGGACTACCAGGCCAGAGAGAGTCCAGGCTGGGGACTACCAGGCCAGAGAGAGTCCTGGTTGGGGACTACCAGGCCAGAGAGAGTCCGGGTTGGGGACTACCAGGCCAGAGAGAGTCCAGGTTGGGGACTACCAGGCCAGAGAGAGTCCGGGTTGGGGACCACCGGGGGCCAGAGAGAGTCCTGGTTGGGGACTACCAGGCCAGAGAGAGTCCAGGTTGTGGACTACCAGGCCAGAGAGAGTCCTGGTTGGGGACCACCGGGGGCCAGAGAGAGTCCGGGTTGGGGACTACCAGGCCAGAAAGAGTCCAGGTTGGGGACTACCAGGCCAGAGAGAGTCCAGGTTGGGGACCACCAGGCCAGAGAGAGTCTGGGTTGGGGACCACCGGGGGCCAGAGAGAGTCCAGGTTGGGGACTACCAGGCCAGAGAGAGTCCAGGCTGGGGACTACCAGGCCAGAGAGAGTCCTGGTTGGGGACCACCGGGGGCCAGAGAGAGTCCTGGTTGGGGACTACCAGGCCAGAGAGAGTCCAGGTTGGGGACTACCAGGCCAGAGAGAGTCCAGGTTGGGGACTACCAGGCCAGAGAGAGTCCAGGTTGGGGACCACCAGGCCAGAGTGAGTCCGGGTTGGGGACCACCGGGGGCCAGAGAGAGTCCAGGTTGTGGACTACCAGGCCAGAGAGAGTCCTGGTTGGGGACCACCGGGGGCCAGAGAGAGTCTAGGTTGGGGACTACCAGGCCAGAGAGAGTCCGGGTTGGGGACTACCAGGCCAGAAAGAGTCCAGGTTGGGGACTACCAGGACAGAGAGAGTCCAGGTTTGGGACCACCAGGCCAGAGAGAGTCTGGGTTGGGGAACACCGGGGGCCAGAGAGAGTCTAGGTTGGGGACTACCAGGCCAGAGAGAGTCCAGGTTGGGGACTACCAGGCCAGAGTGAGTCCTGGTTGGGGACTACCAGGCAAGAGAGAGTCCGGGTTGGGGACCACCGGGGCCAGAGAGAGTCCAGGTTGGGGACCACCGGGGCCAGAGAGAGTCTAGGTTGGGGACCTCCGGGGCCAGAGAGAGTCCAGGTTGGGGACCAGAGGATTTAATCTCTGGTGTTTGTGGCTGATATTGTCTCCACAGTCAACAACATTTATGGACGATGGTCTGTTTGTGTTTTCTATTTTATATCTTGAGTCTGACCGGTCTAATTCTCTGATCTGTGTTTGTGAATCGTCTAAAGTCCTCAGAGATAACTACTGTCATTATTTCAGGCTTTACAAGAGCACATTGAAGTGAAGTAAATGGTGCAGCTGTCTCCGCACACATGGACGAGCGGATGACCCCTGCAGCAGCCAATCAGCTCTGAGCACATGGTCCCAGAGAAAGTCACTGAACACTCTGCAAAAGCAAACATTAGCTTTTCTCACGTGCCTTTCAAACTAAAGTCATCCACAAACGGTTCTGTGTCGGTCATTATGGCTCTCTGATGTCAACTGAAGAGCAGATAAAATTTAGACGTCGGAATCTGTGTTTTGGAGAGATTATGATCAACACGGAGAATGTTTTAGTTCCAGTAAGAGCCCGGCCTGTCCTCTCAGTGCAGAGAGAATGATGTGATACACAGATCTTTGGGATAAATGTCACACACTTCCTGACACTCTACATCTGTCTTTAGAACATGTGTGTAAACGTTTCTGATCTATTGAAACACTTTGTTCAGAGGCCGCATGAAAGTCTGTGTTGTGCTGCTGTTTTTCTGCTCCTCAACACACCCGACAAAATCTATCAATCTGTAATGTTTTCCCGAAGTCGGCTCCTAGCTAGTGGCTGATGCCCCGCCTACTTTCAGTCCCAGAACGCCTCAGGGATGCATCAGGAGAGTAAAGTCTGGGGTTTGGTTCTAGTTTCTGGTTTCTGTTTTTTTTTTTTTGAAGAGGTCCAGGACATCAGCGTGGCCTTGGTCCTGATTCTACAGCCTCAGTCCTGGGTCTACAGCCTCAGTCCTGGGTCTACAGCCTCAGTCCAGGGTCTACAGCCTCAGTCCTGGATCTACAGCCTCAGTCCTGGATCTACAGCCTCAGTCCTGGATCTACAGCCTCAGTCCTGGATCTACAGCCTCATTCCTGGGTCTACAGCCTCAGTCCTGGATCTACAGCCTCAGTCCTGGATCTACAGCCTCAGTCCTGGGTCTACAGCCTCAGTCCTGGGTCTACAGCCTCAGTCCTGGGTCTACAGCCGTAGTCCTGGGTCTACAGCCTCAGTGCTGGGTCTACAGACTCAGTCCTGGGTCTACTGCCTCAGTCCAGGGTCTACAGCCTCAGTCCAGGGTCTACAGCCTCAGTCCAGGGTCTACAGCCTCAGTCCTGGATCTACAGCCTCAGTCCTGGGTCTACGGCCTCAGTCCTGGGTCTAAAGCCTCAGTCCTGGGTCTACAGCCTCAGTCCTGGATCTACAGCCTCAGTCCTGGGTCTACAGCCTCAGTCCTGGGTCTATAGCCTCAGTCCTGGGTCTACAGCCTCAGTCCTGGGCCTTATCGAGGTTCCTCATTTCCTCCCACAGGATAGTTAGAGTTTTTCTGACACAGGAGGGTCCAGGGAAAGTGGGATCAACAACATTATGGACATTGGTCTCTTCTCCTGATGGACCGATGTCTCTGTGTGTTTTTTACCAGTGCATTTCTTGAGACGACAGCTTGTTAAGTCCTCCGCGGTAACTACTGTTGTGATTTAGGGCAATACACAAACACTTTGAATAGAACAAAATCTCTGAGGTCCACAGACTGGAGCTGACTGATGCTTCAGGTCTGGGAGGTGGTCCCTCAGAGCATCAGGATTCATCAGGAGCAGGTTCAGGTCTCACTGTGAGTGTTCTCTGGCTCTGAGGCCCAGCTGAGGCCCAGCTGTCTCCTCTGAGGCCTCCACATCAGCGTGATCCGCCTGGGAACAGGTTTACACTCTGATTCCGAGGACTTCCGACCTCTGCTAAAGCTGCACTAACTCACTTTGTAAAATTTTCAAAAGTAAGCGCTGGCCTCGCTCTTTCTGCTCCCCCTCCCGCACCCACGAAGCTATCACCCCACTACCCTCCCCTGGCGTGATTATGTGTTTACGGAGCTAGCGTCTCACACGTCGCACATTTTAACGTGACATGACCATAGAATGATAGAACCGGGAAGCGCGGAGTAACAAGACTTTCTTTTGGCTGTTTCTCTGAGTACGCAGAAACCGGTGACGAAGACACGGGAAGCTTCAGGTTAGCCTCCGCCGCTTGTTTGTGTCTGTGCTAACGAGAGACCTATAGCTTTCTCAAGAAAGTGGGGGCCAGTGGTGCGCTGTGATTGGTCACAATCTGGGCCCGAAACAAATTCTCTTCCTTGTTTTACGAAAACTCGATCTAACATAAAATGTCACGCCAGCACAATCCTGCGTACTGTGTGTCCCAAAGCACTGCATGGACATGGATTGGATTTAACTAATTAAACTATACAAAAATAAAGTGAGGTACTGCAGCTTTAAGCATTCTTCTTTTATTCTGATCATACTTTCCTGTATTTAAGAATGTTCACACTTGATCTAGGACTGAAGAACCAGCTGTTATTGTACATGATATTATCCTGCGCAGACTATACTTTTAACCTTTAACATGTTGCACACTTCTGTCTTTTTGAGAAACTGAGAAAACTACTGTTGTTTATTTCCTCCATACTCCAGCAGTGACCTGATTCTCCGTACAGCCTCCTCGCGTGAGCTCTCTCCTCCCCTCCCCTCCTCCCCTCTCCTCCCCACCTCTCCTCCTCCCTCCCCCCTCCTCCCCTCTCCTCCCCACCTCTCCTCCTCCCTCCCCCCTCCTCCCCTCTCCTCCTCCCTCCCCCCTCCTCCCCTCCCCTCCTCCCCTCTCCTCCTCCCCTCTCCTCCCCCCCCCTCTCCTCCTCCCCTCTCCTCCCCCTCTTCTCTCCCTCACGAAGCACACATGACCGCGGCGGCTGGCTTTTCCGCCTGTAACCGGTCTGAACCAGCCAGGCTGTAAGCTCTTCCTCAAACATCACGCTTCCCACGGACAGAGCATCACATGCAAGAGACCAGAGAGAGACCAGAGAGAGACCAGAGAGAGAGAGAGACCAGAGAGAGACCAGAGAGAGACCAGAGAGAGATAGAGACCAGAAAGAGACCAGAGAGAGACCAGAGAGAGACCAGAGAGAGAGAGAGGCCAGAAAGAGACCAGAGAGAGACCAGAGAGAGACCAGAGAGAGAGAGAGACCAGAGAGAGACCAGAGAGAGAGAGAGATCAGAGAGAGACCAGAGAGAGAGACCAGAGAGAGACCGAGATAAACCAGAGAGAGAGACCAGAGAGAGAGACCAGAGAGAGACTAGAGAGAGAGACCAGAGAGAGACCAGAGAGAGACCGAGATAAACCAGAGAGAGAGACCAGAGAGAGAGACCAGAGAAACCAGAGAGACCAGAGAGAGAGACCAGAGAAACCAGAGAGACCAGAGAGAGACTAGAGAGGGACCAGAGAGAGGCCAGAGAGAGAGAGACCAGAGAGAGAGAGACCAGAGAGAGACCAGATAAACCAGAGAGACCAGAGAGAGACTAGAGAAAGACCGTGAGAGGCCAGAGAGAGACCAGAGAGACCATGAGACCAGAGAGAGATCAGAGAGAGACCAGAGAGAGACCAGAGAGAGACTAGAGAGAGAGACCAGAATCAGGATCTATTCTTAAAGCTGGGGTACCTAACTTCCAAACCACAGAGAAATGACAGAAAATCCATATGAGTTTCTGGATCTAAATGGAGTGAGAGACCTGATACCAGAGATAGACCAGAGAGAGACCAGAATCAGTGAGAGACCAGAGAGAGAGACCAGAGAGAGACCAGAATCAGTGAGAGACCAGAGGCTAGAGAGACTAGAGAGATGACATCTACACATATGTGACATCACACAGTTTGATAGTGACGTCAAATACTTTACAGCTTTTCTGTTTAAAAATGTATACTGGAAATGAAAGTATTTTTCTTCACAGTGATCCTATCAGCGATTCCTCATGAAGCCCAGGGCCCTGCGGTGAACGGGACATACATCATTCATCAGGCGCTCTGCATTAAGGCCACTAAACAGACCTCATGGCTAATGTTAGCTAACTGCGGAGGACGTGGTTAGGAAGTTAGCCGTTAGTATTGGGACAGCTGATCTCATTTGTGCTGCTGTAGTTTGTGTGTGAGGCACTGTCTGACCCAGAGGCTACAAAAAACACTGAAACATCTCTGAGGGTTCTGACGACTTGGTTAAGAACATTTGGAGAATATAAATCGGAAAGAGCTCTTGATGGCCAACATTGTATATCTAGTACTTTCACACTGCAAAAAATGATCAAATATGAGATGATAATTGCTAGAATCGAGTTTTTTTTTACTTGACTTAAGTTCATTCTGACTGTCTTAAAATGCGATTCGCCAATGAGACAAGCAATTTTGACTTGATTCAAGAACTATTGCTTTATTTTCTCATTCCAAGAGAAAAATATCTTGTATCTTTTTAAAACAAGACAATTTTTCTTGTTCCACTGGAAAATCTTGTTTTAAGGCAGTCAAAATGTGCTCAAATTTACATACATTTAGCCAAATTTGAGCATTTTTTTGTCTTTAATTCTGTCATCTTTTGCAGTGTATGTGTATTGTATCGTAGTATTTTATGAGGAAAAAGGAACTATAAAAATGTGATGAACTTTACAATACTATACTCGGTTCCATGTTAGTTTATACGTATTATATATTATTATATTATTCTTATATATATAATGACGTGATAAACTGCTGTTGCTGTGTAGAGTCAGACTGATCCAAACACAAGGAGTTCACGGTTCTTCAGCTGAATCACTGACTCAGAAGGGAAACCAAGCTGTGGTTCCCGTACCGCGGTGGACTCCCGTCAGTTGCCGTGGTAACACACAAACACAACACGAGAAGCAGGAAGTGAGCCTCCCAAACACACAGAGGGCGACTCAGCAGGAGGCCAGGGGCGGTCCAGCACTCTGACCACGCCCACCCCCACTGCACCTGCCATCAGTCCTCAAGCTAAGCAGGGCAGGGCCTGGTTAGTGCTGTTATGGCAGACCTCTGAAGACACCAGATGCTGCAGATCGATCAATCGACGGCGGAAGTGAGAGAGACCAGGGATTTAAAACCTGGTCTGAGCGCTGCTGCAGCTGTCAAAAGCTGTGCATACACTTTAAAATACAGCTGCAGAGGACACTGAGGGGCCAGAGAGAGACCAGAGAAAGAGATCAGAGAGGGACCAGAGAGGGACCAGAGAGAGACCAGAGAGAGACCAGAGAGAGACCAGAGAGAGACCAGAGAGAGACCAGAGAGGAACCAGAGAGAGACCAGAGAGGAACCAGAGAGAGACCAGAGAGGAACCAGTGAGAGACCAGAGAGAGACCAGAGAGACCAGGGAGAGACCAGAGAGAGACTAGAGAGACCAGGGAGAGACAAGAGAGACACCAGAGAGAGACCAGAGAGAGACCAGAGAGGGACCAGAGAGAGACCAGAGAGACAAGAGAGAGACACAAGAGAGAGACCAGAGAGAGACACAGAGAGAGACCAGAGAGAGACCAGAGACGGACCAGAGAGAGACCAGAGAGGGACCAGAGAGAGACCAGAGAGAGACCAGAGAGAGACCAGAGAGAGACACAAGAGAGAGATCAGAGAGAGACCAGAGAGACCAGGGAGAGACCAGAGAGAGACCAGAGAGAGAGACCAGAGAGAGACCAGAGAGAGACCAGAGAGAGACACAAGAGAGAGACCAGAGAGAGACCAGAGAGAGACCAGAGAGAGACACAAGAGAGAGACCAGAGAGACACAAGAGAGAGACAAGAGAGAGACCAGAGAGAGACCAGAGAGAGACTAGAGAGAGACTAGAGAGAGACCAGAGAGGGACCAGAGAGAGACCAGAGAGAGACCAGAGAGAGACACAAGAGAGAGATCAGAGAGAGACCAGAGAGAGACCAGAGAGAGAGACCAGAGAGAAACCTGAGAGAGACCTCTACTCTACTCTACTTGGTCCCGGTTCTATCCAGACTGATACTAAAGTGTTCTAACTGACTGTGATTGGCCAGAGAGCTGCTGGACGCCATGGTTACCAAGACATTTCCACGAATACTGGTTTGTTGTGGGCAGGTTGCTAAGATACGGTAACAGATACTTCAGTGGAAACACAAGCAGGTAGATCTGAGTAGAGCAGAGTAGAGTAGGGCCAAGTAGGGCAGATAGATCCCCTCTCGGCCCATAGAGGCATCACAGTCTGAACCCTCTGAGCCTTGGGAAAGCTCATGACATAAACTCTGGTACTTGACTCTGTATAATCCTGACCCTTGACCCCTTTGTGCCCCCTCCTCAAGTAAGTCTGCAGACGCCTTCAGGAAGCCCCCTCTGCAGACCGATAGACCCTGGCCCAGGCCTGGAGCCGGGCCAGGTCCTGCTCCACAGAGGAAGCCGCGGGAGCCAAGCGGGAGGCCCATTGTTCGTGTCGGAGGGAGGTCGAGGTCAAAGGCAGAGACACACGCAAAGGACAAAGTGTTATTACTCTCCCGTTTCAAAAGCTGAAGCAAAAACAAACGAGAAATGAGTTTATTCTTCTGTTCCAGACAAAAATAAAGCCAGCAATGTTTTTACCTTCATGTTTTTTGACTGCAGACTGACATAGAAGAAGTTAATCTACTAAGAACACATCTCCCTAAACTATCAAAAATCGTTAGAGGGAAGAGCTTTGGAAATATGTTGGACGCAGTTGTCACGAATGCACTTAGGCATCAGTCAATCAAGTATATTTATAAAACACAATTCATGCAGTGCAACCTAAAGTGCAGAAGGACATTAAATCAAACACATTTACAAGTATTATCAACACATACGTTCACAAACAACCCATAACCCACTGAATGTCTGTTTTAAAACTCAGTCAAAACTCAGTCACACGCAGCTGAAACAACGGTTATCAGCTCAGTGCAAGACATGAGGCCTTTGTGCATAATGAAGACTGTCCCTGTGCTCCTCAGAGTCCCAGCAAGAGGCCAGTCCCTGTGCTCCTCAGTGTCCCAGCAGGAGGCCGGTCCCTGTGCTCCTCAGAGTCCCAGCAGGAGGCTAGTCCCTGTGCTCCTCAGAGTCCCAGCAGGAGGCCGGCCCCTGTGCTCCTCAGAGTCCCAGCAGGAGGCCGGTCCCTGTGCTCCTCAGAGTCCCAGCAGGAGGCTAGTCCCTGTGCTCCTCAGAGTCCCAGCAGGAGGCTAGTCCCTGTGCTCCTCAGAGTCCCAGCAGGAGGCCGGCCCCTGTGCTCCTCAGAGTCCCAGCAGGAGGCTAGTCCCTGTGCTCCTCAGAGTCCCAGCAGGAGGCTAGTCCCTGTGCTCCTCAGAGTCCCAGCAGGAGGCCAGCCCCTGTGCTCCTCAGAGTCCCAGCAGGAGGCTAGTCCCTGTGCTCCTCAGAGTCCCAGCAGGAGGCCGGTCCCTGTGCTCCTCAGAGTCCCAGCAGGAGGCCGGTCCCTGTGCTCCTCAGAGTCCCAGCAGGAGGCTAGTCCCTGTGCTCCTCAGAGTCCCAGCAGGAGGCCAGTCCCTGTGCTCCTCAGAGTCCCAGCAGGAGGCTAGTCCCTGTGCTCCTCAGAGTCCCAGCAAGAGGCCAGTCCCTGTGCTCCTCAGAGTTCCAGCAGGAGGCCAGTCCCTGTGCTCCTCAGAGTCCCAGCAGGAGGCTAGTCCCTGTGCTCCTCAGAGTCCCAGCAGGAGGCCGGTCCCTGTGCTCCTCAGAGTCATAACACACTAACATCAGATGTACTTTGATGAATCTAAGACCATCAGTCGTAGTCTCCTCCTCAGTACCTCGGAGTAGACCTCACAAGGAGGCGATAAGTGGAACACACGGTCCCCCTTCGTGTGGAAAGGGACCCCCAAACCCTGGTCTGCCGCTGCATCGGCAAATAAAACGATTATCTAATATAAGAATTGACCATGATCGACATGTTTGACACAGATGCCCCGTCTCTCAGGAGT